TTTTTTACGCATTTTCTACGCAAGTGCGTAAATTTCAGTTTTCCATTTTTTACGCATTTTTTACGTATTTGTGGAATTCCGAATACTCTGCATTTGCGGAAAAAGTGTGGAATTTACAATGTGGAAAATTTGTGGATTTTTTTTACGCATTTTCTACGCAAGTGCGTAAATTTCAGTTTTCCATTTTTTACGCATTTTTTACGTATTTGTGGAATTCCGAATACTCTGCACTTGCGGAAAAAGTGTGGAATTCACAATGCGGAGAATATGCGGAAATACTGTGGAATTACGCATTCAACGCGTAATTTGTAGGTAAGGGTTCATTAGGATTTATACCCGAAATTGTTACATTTAAAAACAGACAAACAGACCAGACCCTATCTTATAAGAGTTTTCTGATTTTTGCCAATCAATGTATACATGTACATGTAGGAATGTAGCTACTAATACTAGATTCATGTGAAAGGCTTAGTCTAAGGCTTAGGAATTAGAAAATAATGCATATTATAATAATTTGTTCTTATTCAAACTTACGATACCACCCACTCTTAAATTAGGTGGTGATAGACTTATGAAGGTGATAGTTGTTACGCGTGTGTAACGTTAGATATCCAAAACAAACTACAAAGGTCAGAAGTCCAGTTCTAGTGTGCCTCAACAGATTAGCAGAAATATAACAAAATGGGACCACATACGTGTATCATTCAAATGTAAATATTAGAAACAACCCTCAATGAATCGTTCATGAAATACCTCCAAGATCCTTACTGTAGCAGTGATTCACAATTGTTGCTATACTTAACGTACAGACCACCTACTTTCATTTTAGGATATTCGGAACATATCTGATTTTATTAAATGATTCCGAATCTAGATAACTTCCGATGGTAAACTTTATAACCAATGAGAATGCAGTTATTTCAACAGTGCCGTACCAAAAAATACCGTAATGGCGAGTTGCTACAGACGCATTCTCAAACACGATAGATATGTTATGTGATTATCAGTGTTTATGAGGAGAAGGCAAGGAGATAAACATGATTTGTGTACACCAGAACATCAAAGAAAAGTACAAGTATTCAGAATCCGTTTAGTGGGACGTGTTCACACATTTCTACGATTTTTTCCCTACTTCGTGAAACTTTCACAACCAACAGCACAAGAGAAGGATCAGTAGGATGATCACATAGGATCACACAAAATGAATGTGTGGATTTACTCAATTTAAATAGATTGGTGTTTAAACTTCAACTTTAACGTTTTGTCTCAGATATTTATCCATGTGTTGATCATTTACAAACAGCCAACAAACAACACTTTGAAACCAAGCAAATGCCTACTGCAATGGATAAAAACAAAAAGCGGCCCCTACGCATCAAAATCATCAGTATGGGGAATGCTGAGGCCGGAAAGGTAACAAATAACATTACATGGTTTATTTTGAAACAGTTTTATTTGATGTTGAAAACAGAAAACTACAGTCCTGTGGCATAAGAACTTATAATGTCGTCTAAAAAAACTGATTGTCTTCTCCATCCTATATATCTGTCNCTGTGGAGTGGCCTTCTCTCCCAAATGAACCAATGTCCTTCTGGCAACACATCCCTGTCGCAATATATGAAAAAAATCCTCTCATCGTCAGAAAGCTACGTTATCGCAGCTACATCCTATCATGTTTCATTGTTTTGGACTATGTAACACGTTTGAAACTTTTGTATTGCCTTGCCTTACCTATTACCAGTCCTAGAGGTATTTTGATATAGTTCCTAGGCCTCTCAGACGGGAGTGAGAATTATTTTTCATTTGACTCTGCCTTATTGTCAAACATTAAAAGAACTTTACTGTTCAAACTCTGGTCCTTACCTTTGATTATAACTTACTGCAGAAACTTAAGTTTCAGACTTTTTCTTTATATTTTCTCAAAAATTCATGATCATTTTATGAAAAGATAATTAATTTATTGAAATGAAAATCAAATAAATGCAATGTTCATATAGAGCACAAGTATTAGCCTCGTCTGTCAATACACCTATAATATTGTAACAGGAAAATTAACTGTGTATTTCCACCGTAGACCGAACCCTCGATCTCCAGGTTGCTAGTCGGACGCTCTACCACTGAGCTAAAGGGAAATTCACTCTAGCTCAAAGCTAGAAGGCGACCTTAATCCTATGAACAATTAAAACCTGCCACACTACTCCCCCCTTTTTAAATGTGTTCGCCCTCGAACACCACAACCCAGGTTCTAACTCCCTGTCACCATAGGGAGGGCCACAGACACTTTGTAACAGGAAAGAGAATAGGGTGCTTCCACCGGGGAACGAATCCTAGTCGGACGCTCTACCACTGAGCTAAATGGAAATTCCCTCTAGCTGCTGCATGCATAGGAAGCTAGAAGGTGACCTTAATCTTATGTACAATTAAAACCTGCCACAATATAATCATATATTATATAATAGGTGTATTGACTAGTGATGGGCTGATGATCGATTATAATCGAAAATCGATCGGTTTGCCCTTTCCAATTCCGATTATCGATTACAAAATTCCATAATCAATATAATCGGTTCATCATTGAAATCAAAGCCATTAATGTCTTCCATGTAAAGCATGCTTTTGAAAATCATACATTGTAATGATTTATACTATGTGATTGATAATAATGCATAAAAGTGGCTTAATATCCATTCATAATAAAAGAACGAAACTTAATGTACATGTATAGTGAACAACTTTGTCTATTGATGTAATAGTAGTGTAATCTCACTTTATTTGGGTATTCAGTCCCAAAAAATTATAAACCAATTATGCAATTGATCATGGATCAGTTAACTACTTTCGATTACAAACCGATTATCGATTGTGATTTTAAACTGATTGCCCATCGCTAGTATTCACAGACGATGCTAGTACCTGTGCACAGAGATCAATTAATTCAAGGAATCCCAAACTTGTGTTAAATTGAGCTAATGTTAAGCCAATAAAACATTTTTTGTATGATCAACTTGAAAGTATGAAAACTACTGAAAAATAAAGTCAATACACTCAATAAATACTTATATAAGTATGTGGTTCTAATCATATGATCTACACACCAGTCATTCCAGACAAAAATAAAATACTGGATAAATAATTACATTGTAGGGTGTATGACCCAAAAACAAATCTGCCATACAGGTTTTATATTGTAAAATTGCATTTATACCTGATCACTTCAAAGTCTTTCCCAAACGACAAGATTTTTTTTACCGAGTAAGATATATAGAGCCAATCCAGTCTGGGGAATTTAAATTTCAATTTTAGTAAGTTTGTGCTGTGTGAATCATGGATACAGATCCACATGTATATCATATAGCTTGACCACTGTAATCTAGATAGAAATCTTCTGCTTTAAACAGTACATGACTGTCGATATATCATCAGCTGGTATCTTCTGGACCATAGTCCTTTAGAAAAATGTTTGACCATGTATACATGGTTTTTGAGATCATATTACTTCATATTATTTGCTAGGCCGCATGTCTGCTGGACCACCGTCAAACATACAGAAACTATATTATATCTGTTGGACCACAGTCCTTGACAAAGATTTAGATAGAAAATATATATCTGTTGGACCACAACCCTTTAAGAGTCAAATACCAGGCAAATGCCAGGTAACTAAAACTTTGGTTAATTGCTTCAGAAAGTTGTTTCCTGAAATATTCCCTTTCTGAATATAAAACCTAGCTATCATCAGGCTTTGCCCTACTTGTTCGGTGGTTTAATGATAATGTTCATGGTATTGTGCAGTGTGTATCGTAGTCTAGATCAATATCCCGGTGCCTGTATAATTAATGTGTGATATACTTGACTTTGTGTACAGTAGATGGCAGATCCTATTACCTGTAATTCCATACGCCTACCTATGTTAAGTCGGGAACCAATCTAGGACGATTAAATTCTTCTTCATTGTTTATTGGGTTTTAGGAGTAAAAAAAATGTATCAGTCCCCAAAGCTGTAAAAATTACTGATTCTTTAGAAATCAAAATGGCATGTTTATATGAAGTAATATAATAAAGAGATATTTATAAATAATAACGATATATATATTTATGATATAAAATATTATGCGTATGTGTATCCACCACTGATAGTATCTGCCATTTTTAGTTAAGGTTAGAGGAAGCCGATGAAGTTTTCTTTTTCATAAAAAAAATGAGACCAATCAAATGATCCATCATATTTTCATACTGCTAAAGCCACACCATCTCAGAATTATGTTAAATATGATGAAATCCCTGTTATCAACAATTGGTAACAGAGGTCAATATTTGTTCAATGCCAGTCTAATAGGAGTCGAACCTGGGCCGTCTGGTTATACTACGCCTTACGCTTTACCGAATGAGCTAAAGAGAAATTCTCCCTAGCAGAGTCAGTATCATTAAAGGCTAGTATTTTACCTGAGAGTCGAGTTTTCCAAGGGCCATAGAGATTCTTGTGAAAGTATCACTGAGTGTATATCAATAATTCCTGGATCATTGTGTGGGTGCTTCATACATTTGTATATTGGGTTACAGAAATTTTACATTAATTATGAAAACATATAAAACTGAAAGTTGAAATTAATTATACAATTTTATATTATTTATTTGGAATATTTAACTACTTGTTTTTTTAATCAATATTTTATAATTTAAACAAGATGTAGGCCACAAAATCCCCAAAAAATGTTCACAGTCACCAGTAAATCATACTACTTTTGAAATTAAGGGTAAACAACATTCAACTTGTCTAGTACTAGTACTATTAGTGCAATGTAATAGAAATAGAAATGTAAAGGTTTCAGTCAATATTTTTTCATGACTCTCATTGTCTGAAGTCAAATAGACTGCCAAGCTAGAATTTTCTTGGCTTAAAATCCTTGATATAAATGAACCTATACTGAAAATGTTCAATTGACATGATTTGGCCTTAATTTAGGATGTTGGAATGTTGATTCAGTGATGGTCTCATATGTGAAAAGATAATATAATGACAAGAGACTCTTGGAAATACTTAATTCAGTTATCTGTAAAAGAAATGTAAATTAGCTTCATTGAAGGATTTCAATACATGTATTACAATTACTACCTAAATGCCATTGAAGCCCTGAAGCTTGTGAGTATGTGTGGAAATCGTTATAGTTTATATGACAATATTATTGCATTTACTTTAATCAGTTAAAAGTAAACACTCTTTATGTTGTTCCAGAGCTGCGTGATAAAACGGTTCTGTGAGAAGCGATTTGTCCACAAATACTTGGCCACGATTGGTATAGACTATGGTGTTACAAGGTAAGTGTGTGGTAACAGTTTAACAGAATGACAGAGTAGTGTGTACATGTGAAGTGGAACTGGACTGGGTAGATCACCAGCGACCAGGTAGCTCAAATGGTGGAGCTTACGTCTAGAGACAGAGGGTTCCGGTTTGAACCCCGGTCTGGCCATGTAATATTTGATCTCCTGTTTTAATGGTGCCTGTATCCAACCCTTGTTTAAAGCATTTGGTGTATGCTTGATAAGGGGATACCCTAACCTGGGTTGTAAATAGTTGTGTCTTCGGGGCGAAGACTTAAAAATGGAGGGAGGAACATAGCAGAACTGGAATGTCAGTCAATCATTGGTGACCAGGTAGCTCAAATTGTTAGAGCGTCTGTCTAGAGTTCAGAGGGTCCCGGGTTCAAACCCTAGTCTGGCTGTGCATTTTTCCTCTCCTGTTACACATATATAGATCCTATATTTGTCTGTGACCATTTAACATACATGTATGTTGCTTAAAGTCCTGCATAAGTCATGCATATCTCAGTCTGATCCATCTACTTACAGTACACCTTTTATTTCAAACCACAAATTACCCACTCCGAAGTGGACTCCGACTAGGAAGCCTGGGATTGCTGGTTTGATACCTGGTGGACGCACATTACTCTCTTTCCTGTTACAAATGGTGTCTGTGGCCCTCCCTGTGGTGACATGGAGTTTAATTAAGAACCTAGGTTGATGTGGTGTTTTAGGGAAACATTTTAAAAAGGGAGGGGAAGTAGTAGTGTGGCAGATTTTAATTTACATAGGATTACATTCGCCTTCTTGTTTTATGCCTGAGGGAATTTCCCTTTAGCTCAGTGGTAGAGCGTCTGACTAGGAAGTCTCGGGGAATGCGGGTTTGATCCCCGGTGGAAGCAGTACACAGCTCTGTTACCTGTTACAGTTAATTTTTATTCTGTTGCTTCATGTTATAACTATAAGTAACTGGACATATATTTGTGATATAAAGGTTATACTATGGCTATATACAGGCTTCCATATCCTAACCCATACTTAACCTCAACCCTTACCAGCCCTCGGTCGTGCTGATATGTGGGGCTCCGATATCGATAGATAAGGGGGTTGGCTGGACTTAAAGGAGCCCAGCACTGCCCAAAAATTGTAAGAAAACTATAACTTTGATAAATAATTTCTGAAAAATTTACCTTTCAGAAGATATAACATGATTCAACAAGTGTTCAGTATGTAAAAAAAACTATTAAGAAAACCAGAACCAAAAGAAGGATACAGTAAAGAAATACGATATATAATGATAGAACTAAAAACATAAGCAGCTTTCACCCTTCACAGGGCTTGTCATCAAAATAAGTTAGATCGCCTTATATTGTAATTTCTATCTTTCCAAAGTGAAACTGTTTTGAAAGTCGACAGCAAGAACCCATGTATTTTTAATAATCTTTTACTATCAGCTATATCTACAAAGAGTGCTTGTGCAAGCTTTAAATCATAGTCGTACATAAAATTAATAGTCTTTCAGTGTATAGTCAATGATTGGACGATAAGCTTTCATCAATAATGTATCAATTTAAGTCTGTTATCAGCAGAGTTACCTTGACTATAGACAATGTATGGTGTAGGTATGCATGACTTTGATATATAAACCTTTCACATATATACATGTACCTAATTACATACTTTGTGATGCTATATTTGAATGCCACAAAAGGAAAGCTTGATGTGTTTATAAATATATTATTGAAAGTAAAGTAAGTGCTAATTTTATACTTTCAATTTCTGTGACAATTACCTATATACCTGGCCTTCAAAACCAGCTGAGTGTTAACGTTATTGGTAGTCTGTTAAAACATCTGAAACATTGTGTTTGGCAATAATTTAATGACTTATACTTTTGTTCCAGAATAATAGTTTAGCTTAATTGTGATATGAATCGCTGACAGACTTTTTAACAAAACAAAAGTTAAAACTCTTGAGAAAAATTGTCTGTAGACTGGCACAATGACATTTTTACCTATAACAGTTGTACATACTCGAAGTCTGACAAGTTAGCAGTTTAAATATTTCGTTAAAATAATACTACCTTCTTAATTACATGAATTGCTGACAACCTTTTCATTGCTATAAAGCAGACAGTAAAAAAATAGTGTTTACCGTATTCGCTGTAATAAGTGTACCTACCTTTATAAGTCAGTCCCTCCCCTTTTACGGGGACTTATATATATAATTACTGAACTGCTACATGTGCCCCCTTTTCACCAACATGATCCTCTATTGTGGTCCTAATTACCAATTAACAAACCACAGTACTATACATTTTGTATCATACGCTACAGTCTCACAATTCAACAAGACTGTTTTCCAGTATTCAAAATCAAACCTCAAAATTAATTTAATGAATACTATTCCCAAAATTATTCATACTCTTAAATAGTCCATCTGCATCACCTGTCCTTTATAACCCCTATGTTAAATATTTACTGTGCTTATATAACATGCTGTAACCCAAATGGGAGAAGACTTATATAGGCTTAAGCCTGTTGTCTGATCCTTTTGGAAACAATAAAGTACCCAGGTATCTTGAAGAATTGAATTAAAAAAAAATAAGAGAATAATTTTGATTTTTCTTTGGAATGGGTCCAACATTTATCAAGCAACTGCCATAACTCGTTTTGTGTTTATTTTTAATAAGCACCCCTTCATGTGCCCTGGGTGCTAATTATGGTGAATATGGTATGTCAATTTTAATTATAGGTTATATGTAATAAGTTTTTGTGACAAGCACAATCTGAGTTCTTCCATTGTTATCATATATATTATATGTATCTACAATTAAAACAGCCGTCCCGACCTAACAGCCCACAGGTTAAGGATGTATAGGGTTACATAGGCTATTGAGATGATTACAGCAGTATATTGTTGTATTCAGCACATTGTCTTTTGGGTGTTGTGCTGACATAGTCCGACTACAAACTGTCATGTACATATATATATTTTTTGAGTGAAATGAAAATACCTTGATTAAATTGAAAGTGAAGTATACCATCAAGTTTAAATTTATTTAAAAAAATGTATAACCATTGTCATTATTATGAAATATTTGTACCCCCAACCCCCACTAAGTGATGGTTGATATTTGTCCTAGTGTCTGTCTGTCCATAGAAAAAAAATGCATAAAAACATCTCGTAAATCCCTGAATAAGGTCTATATATATCTGATTAGAATTTGGTGGTCATCGGTCAAAGTTAAAAGGTCAAAAGTCACGGTCAAAGATCACACTTTAACACTATTGAAGTAAAAATCTTAATTGTATGAAAGTTTTTTCACTCACTCCTCAAAATCATCATGTTAAAAGTCTGAAATGCTGTATCTATGTAAACTTTGTAGATTTATTTTGCAAAATAAAAAGATCTGCCCATCTACCATTATTTTATATTTTGGGAGCTAAAAATCCAGAAGCACAAAATTGAGGTTGTATGGGTTAAAGTCATATGATGTGGGTTATATCAAGCACATTAAATTTCCAGGAAAACTGAAGCCATGTTGTTCTGGATAAAGAGTATCTGACATCACATGCATGATTTATTTTTAAACTCAAACTGTTTTTTGTTACCAGGGTTACGATAAAGGATCGGGATGTCAAGGTAAACATCTTTGACATGGCAGGACATCCCATATTTTATGAAGTAAGTAACTTGACCAATTCATAACTTTTGTAAGCAATTGCAATATATATGTTCATATTTATAGCATCACTAGAGTTTTCAGATACAGTTATCAACCTATTAGTTCTCTGGTTACTTATCAGTTGGAAAATTTAAAAGAATTGCCGAACAACCTTAAACAAACAAAAATAACCCTAATGGAATCCATCGACTATATAGGGTAGGCTGAACTGAATATCCACTACTAGTGGACATTGGATCTCATTTTCACTAGTATTTTTTTCAAGTATAGTCAGCAAATTATAGTAAAGGGATAATGAATGCTCAGACCAGAACTTGAGTTAAGGGGTGCCTACAAGGGCAATTACTAGATCAGATACGGTAATCAATTAACCATCAAGTAAATGTAGAAACAAATCCAGATTTTTATTTGTTTTTATTAATTACCGTTGTATGTACATTTAAATATAATTTACTCATGGTTTAATTTTTATATCTTTGTGAAGTTCTATTTTTATTTACCGGTAATAACAAAACTGTATGTATTGCATTTAAAATAAGTGATTTATTTTCCCAAAAATGGAGAGAAAAAAGGAATGTCTTCCCAATTTCAATGTAGGAACAGCTTTTGTAAAATTTAGGTAGGAAAAAGCAAGTGAAGTTAATTAATGTCCTAAATCATAGATAATTTATAAATCAGTCGATTAATTTATGGAATTTGTTACAGATTGGATTTCTTGTATCACTTAACAGTAGAATCAACGAAAACATTCATTGTAATAATAAAATCCAATTTTGAATTAATATTTCCTTTTTCTGCAGGTAAGAAATGAGTTTTACAAGGACACTCAAGGAGCTATCATAGTGTACGATATCTCCGACCGATCAAGCTTTGAGGCTCTCGATTCATGGATCCAGGAAATGCAGAATGAGACGGGGAATCAGACAGATGTAGATAATGTGGTTGTATGTGTGTGTGGTAACAAGGTAAGACTTCTGAGATTTTAGGAGCAGGGTGCAAACATTTGTTACCGATGATATAAAAAGAGAAAAACATTTTATGATATCAACTTTTTGTGTTATCATATGCAAAAAAAAACCCACCTCCAATCAGTCATTTTTGAAAGACATTAAAACAAAGCTTAAATATTTCACAAAGAGTTTTCTTAATTAATTTTACAATGTAACCAATGTCCTTCATTGTTTATTAAATTTTGAATTCACCACAATATCTAAATATTTGCATTTTTACAACGTACCAGAATTTGAATTAAGAATAGACTCCATCCAGACAGTCTCCATTGATTCTATATTAGAAGATATAAATCCCAAATAATATAAATAATTTACTGGGAATTTTTGTTTCAATTATCGCCCTTAAAACATTGATTCATTCAGAGTTACTTGCATGCTTATATACATCTGATTTAATTGTATGCATGAAGAATTACAGTATAGCGTTAGCAATTGCTTCAAAGTATAATCAATCAAGCAATTTCCAATGTTTAAACAGCTTTTTTGGTGTGGTACTCCTAGTTTAAGAAATATTTTTGCCTATCATTGACAATGTAATAATTAAAGGTACCATACAGCCTTAAACACACGGTTTGGCTGAATCACCTATTAAGGTTGTTGTCATGTCGATTGTTGTAGACAGACAAGAAGCGATCGGTGGATGAGCTGGAGGGACGTCTTTGGTCGGAGACAAAAGGTTTCTTATTCTTTGAAACATCAGCACAGACAGGAGATGGGGTGGCAGAAATGTTTCAGGTAAACTTACCCTTGATGTATACTTACTGTAGAATGTAGAAAATCTTAATTAGTGTCAATTTTCCTTTAAAGTAATTATAAGTCGATCTCCACATCCTGAATATTGTAACATCCAAGCAATATTATTGGAAAACATTGCCTTACTGGCAAGCAGGCAAGCAGGCAAGCTTTTCCAGTGATGTTATGTTAGTGCACCCAAATCCCCCCCCGTGACGAAAATGCCATAAGGCATCATATTACATAATATGTGATGTAAATAACTTTACCATAGTCTTCAACACAGTTTAAGCCTTCAAACATTTTGACAAGAAGATGTAAAAGAAGGGAAAAGTTATATTATTAATTAAATAGTTATGAAATGTCTTGTAACACAACAAATCTTAAAAATTTGGTCTGTGCGACGGACATCTCCTCAACTATTAATCTGAGGCCTATTGGTTGTGATTTAGTGTTAAGGCATTACATACAAATTGAAAATACCGATATCTCAATGGTAATTTCAGTGTTATAGTCGACTGAGCCGTCAATGCAAGTAAATTGTTTTTCCACAAGTGTACTTTGGTACATACAATGTACTGACAACCCAATGCTTGTTTAAGGAAACAAATTATTACCTAAAACCTTTACTTATGTGACAAATTTGCCTGCACTAACGTCAACAGTTAAACCTGGACATGCTGACTATATAATGGTTCAGCAACGTCGATTGTGGTCATGAAAATAATTGGAATCAATGTGTAGACAACAAATTACACTCTGTATAACCTTTAACCAGTAAACAGTATCTCAGCTAAAGAGAAAACTGTAAAGACTAATAAAATCTATTACCTGTAACTGAGCGAGATCGGTTTATCTCAGTCGAGGGTTAAGATTCTGTAACAAAATCCCAACCGAGGCGTAAGCCGAGGTTGGGATGTTACAGAATCTTAGCCGGAGACTGAGATAACCCGATCTTCCACAGTTACAGGTAATTGATTTTTTTTCTCGCACCTTTCAGTTCGAAAAAAACTATTCAATTTTGCTAAAAAAAAAGTATCCCGCCTTTTATCTACAACATCAAATATCTAACAACATCAAAACTGTATATACATATAACGACAAAACAGATCATTTATAATGCAAATTGTCAATTTCAAGCAGTTTTTTTTTTTTTTTTTTTTTTTTTTTTTTTTTTTTTTTTTTT